AGGGAAAAGTCTTTGTTTACATCTCGTTTTGCATCATTGTGTTGGGTGGTTGTGGCTTGTTCAAGATGTAGCACTTCCTTCCAGTGGCTGCAGACAGGATGCAGCCAAGACAGGGGGTACCATGATACCTCCTGCTTCTTCCCCATGAGAACTGGAGCAGCAACCTTGTCCACAGCCACATTCCTCATGGTGTGCCTTCTTCCACAGAGCACTTGCTGAATGGTCGGGTGGACTTCTGCTATCCTGGCAGTGGCAGTGGCACACTGACCAGGATGATGAACACCAGTTACCACCAACTGAACTCCCACATGCATCAGGAGCACAGGGTGATGGGGAGCTCCTCGCTGACAAGAGACTACTCCACGATGCAGATGGGGCATGGTGAGTACTGCAGCAATGGTACCTGTCCTTCCCTTCCACTCCCATGACTGTCTTTGGACTCATGCCCTAAAGCTCTATTGGGGTGAGGACTCTGTTCGTAGCCAAGGAGTCCTATGAACCCGAGGTCTGGAAAGTCATGTCCTCACTACTGATGTCTTGGTGCTTTGCTAAGGCCACTCTGCTCCCAGACCAGTTTGGAAAGGGTTCCCATCCCTCACATGCAGAGTGTGCAGGAAAGGGAACTCTATCCTTATCCTCACACCATGAAGCACTCCAGGAAGAGCACATCTCTTCCCACTCTCTTTAAGGAGCATGGTTGTTTTTCAGCTCCATGCCTGTACATCAGCTGGTGCTGACAGAAGGTTGTTAAAAGATACTTCAAACCTGAGTCTTAAAAAGTCATCTGTGCAGGAGCCAGCACCTGGGCTGAACCTGCTCTGAAGTCTCCAATGGTGTTTTTCTCTCTTTCTTCTTGCACTGCTTCTGTAGATTACCCAGGGACACTCCTCCCTCCCATCCATGAAGATGCTGGGAGGACAATCCCACGGCCCCGGGATGTGGGTTTCAGGAGCAGGGTAAAGGTGAAGGGTTACTACCCCAGCATTGGCTGTCGGGACTCTATAATCATGACTGATGGGTCCACAGGGATTTGCAAGTACATAGGTACAGCTTGTCCAGTGTCTCCTCCCAGCCACACATCCCATAACAGCCAAGTCACTGCCCATCCATGAGCTGTTGCCATCCCCTGCTCATGCCAAACCTCCTCTCCATAGCTTGCTGTGTACTGTGCTGATCTTCCTCCTGACCCAGCCTGTGCCTCCATCACACCACCTTTCCATTTGCAGGTGACTTCCACTGTGTTTCAACCCACCTGGACTGATTAACACTCACCACCGCTGCAGCCACCGTGCTCTGATCAACTTATTGTCCCCATCTTCTTCATTCCTAATGAGCTTGTTGTTCTAGTCTTACTCCACAGGCCTTCAGAGAACTCTTGGGGAGAATGTGTGTTCCATACGAGATGTCCCTCTGCAAGCTCCTTGGCCAAAGCCCATGTCAGTGAAGGGCTTCAGTCCCTGAGTGTCACCTGGGAGGCTGCTGTGCTCACTAGGAGACTTGTGTCCCAGTGAGCTGAGTTGAGGAGGAGCCAGAGCACCCAGTCCTGGTCCCAGCTGCCCCCATCCTCTTGAACAGGACCTGGAGGTGTTGGGCTGCTTTATATATAGACTAGGGCCAGATCTAACTGACCTACACCTGAAGATGTCTGTGAAGCTTCTGGCAGACTGGACTGGGTGCTTTGGGGTGAGTGAGGAGGGTCACATGCAGCACACCAGGCTCCTGCTCTGGTCTCTCTACCACAGGGGCATAAAGCTTCCTTTGACTTGTCCTACCCAAGGTTGGCACCCTAAAGGCCATGGGACATCCCCATAGCTATGCAGAGCCAGGCAATCCCTCTTCATGATGGGTCAGCTTGCAGAGATGACATCTCACCATGTTCTCCCCAGACCATCAGGACCATCCCATGCTTACACATGCCACTCCTTCATCTCCCCCAGCCCCTTTATCCCCCATTCCCTAAATCTCCACCCTGATGTTCCCTTTTTGTCTCAGACTCCAGGAAGCCACTGGGCATCCCTGACACCCCCACACGCCTGGTGTTCTCTGCCCTGGGACCCACGTCCCTGAAGGTGAGCTGGCAGGAGCCACGCTGTGAGAAGGAGGTGAAGGGCTACAGTGTGCAGTACCAGCTCCTCAACGGAGGTCAGTGCCCACCAGGCAGGTGGTGGTGGGAGTTTTGGGTGGTGGAGAGTCTGTCTGAGTCTTCTCCTGGGCAATTGGCTCTGGGTGACCCTGGTCTAAGCAAGGTGGGGGTTGGACCAGATGACCTCCTGAGGTGCCTTCCAGTCTCAACTGTTCTGGGATTCAGAGATTGGTTCCAAACCTGCTTTTTGTGTAGCCTTTTTGTGTGTGTAGGAAATGTTTTGGCTACCTCAAAGCTCTCATTCCCCATTTTCTCCTGGAGAGGGACAGTTCCTAAGGTTGCTTGCAGAATCACCCTTCCTCCAAAAAAAAACCTTTTACTCATTCTCACCGGCCCAAACATCTTGAAGGTTTTTCAAAAGATTGGACTTAGAGGAGGAATTGACATGAAAATATCTTTTTTTACATGAATCTCACGGCAGTATAAGTGAAAATGTAATTCTCTTTATCTGGAAATCCTTGAGTTTTCAAGAAGGTGTTGTTCATCCCAAGCTTTGTTTTTGGGAAAACATCTTGTCCTGCACTACCTGTTGTTGTTGGCCAAGGTGTGATGGAGGTGGCTGGGGAGGGGCCCTGGGTGGCTTTTCCAGGCAGTTCATTTGAGACAGAGTTTAGGTGAAAGCCATGGGTTTGTCTTTGTGCCTGCAATATGGTGTTGACATCCCCTTCCCTGTGTGTCCCAGGAGAGGTGCATCGAATCAGCATCCCCGACCCCAGACAGAACTCGGTGGTGGTAGAGGACCTGCTGCCCAACCACTCCTACATCTTCAGGGTGAAGGCACAGAGTGAGGAAGGTTGGGGCCCTGACAGGGAAGGGGTCATCACCATAGAGTCCCAGGTGGACCCACAGAGCCCACTCAGTCCTGTTCCAGGTAAGGTGGATGGGGAACAGAAGGGTGGCACTGATGTCTCTGCTGCTGTCTACAGTGCAAACCTGGTTGTTTTCTCACCCTTACTACATCCTGAGCTCTCCTTTCCTTCCTCTCATTTAGAAACAGGATCTTCTTCCTTCCACTCACTTTTTTTCCTAGCTGTCTAGATGGCTGAGACCTTCCAGCTCGTGCCATAAATGCTGTGTGCAGATCCCTCCTAGGCTCCCCCTTTCCCCCTGTGTGATGCTGACCTGTCCCTCATGCCCTTGCAGGGACACCCTTCACACTGAGCACCCCCTGTGCTCCTGGACCACTGGTCTTCACAGCCCTCAGCCCAGACTCTCTGCACCTCAGCTGGGAGAGACCCCGTGAGCCCAATGGGCCCATCTTGGGCTACAGGATCACCTGTGAGATGCTGCATGGAGGAGGTATGGTACCAGGCTGAGCAAGTTCCCTGTGTAGAGCACAAGATACCTCCAGCAAAGGCAGCAACTTGCTGCATTGTTGCTGGGACCAGTAACAACATTGTCTGATTACATTGGTGCAGACAAAGTAGGGACATGAGGCTGATTCCAGGCCTGGGAGCTGCTGGCTCCTGATGCTTTGTGTCCTTGCATGGTCTGATGTAACAAATGTGGTGGGAAGGGGAAGGATCTGTTGCTTAATTACAGCCAAAACCCAGTGGAGGTTTGCTGTTGAGGTTCCCCAATGTATCAAAATAGGGTTGTCTTAACCCAAAGTAGAACTGTGATCCTACAGTTTGTGGGTTGCACAAAGCACAGGGAAAGCCAAGGCAGCAGTCAGAGTTGGGGGGAGTGTATTTGGAGGGTCTGTCACTCTTGTCTGTCTTCACTGCTGTATTTCTGTGTGGATTAGGGGAGCCCAGGACTATTTATGTTGAAGGAGACAATCTGGAAACCACCCTGACTGTGCCCCACCTGAGTGAGAATGTCCCATACAAGTTCAAAGTGCAAGCCAACACCACCCAAGGCTTTGGGCCAGAGAGAGAAGGCCTAATCACCATTGAATCTCAGGATAGAGGTACAGTACCATGTCTTTGTGGAGGTGCAGAGATAAAAACTTCTCAGAGCAGGGAACACAGCCCTTTCCAGCTCTGGTGGTGACTCCATGCTCCATGAAAGACATGGAGACAGTGACTTCCATGAAGACAGTGCTGTGCCTGGTGAGCACTGTCCTAGTCCTGATGCACTGAGTGAGGGAGGATCATGAGAACCTGCCAGTGCTTAACTTACAATGAAACTTCTCCCTCATGCTTGGTTGGACACATACCTGGAGACAGCTGCTTACACTGCACAGGTGTGAGACCTTCCCAGTCCTCCCAGTTCCTCCTATACTTGGCTCTGGTGTTAGCAAGGAAAACCTCCTGAGCTGACTGCTGGTGCTCACTGTGCAGGGTTGAGGGGTTGGAAGCACCTTCTTGTTTCCTGGCTGACTCATCCCATTTCCTTCTCTCCAGGCGCTTTCTCCCAGCTTGGAGGACAGCAGTACGTGAGAGAAGAAGTGTACAAATTCCCCACTGAATACAGCACCAAAACCAGCATCAGCCATTCCTCTCTGGATCCCCACTTCACAGGTAAGGATTCACTGTTGCCTTGAAATGCCCAGAAAGCAAAGGATAGTTCTGCTTGTCCAAAGGTCTGAGGTTGCTTTTGCCTCCAGTGGGAAGGCAGGGAGGGAGGGCCCATCAGGTAGGATTAAGATCAGACCCTTTCCCACACTGTCCCTGCTCTGCCCCAGAGGCAGGTGTAGTCATTTCCACGTGCTGCCCAGTCGCAGAGGGAATGATGAGTTCCAAAGTCCTCCAGGGTTAAATCATAGTTCTTCCTGCAAGGTTCAATCTCTTCAGAGCAGGAAAAAACAGAGGAGTGTGATAAACATCTTTAATCACATTATAGTTGTCCCATGTCATCCTACTCAAGGACTCATGGGTTCATGCTGCAGCACAGAGTTTGGGAGCTGTTAGGAGATCCATCTTACTGACTGACATAACAAAGTACTGAATCACTTGATCTGGAGAGGTTTTTCCATCAGCATGTGGTGTTTAAGGACAAACTTCTGCCTGGAATCAACAGGCAGAGCATATCCTATTCCCTGTGACCCCATACTTAGTGTCCTCACCATCTCCTTGCAGATGGCATGTTGATGACAACCCAGCGAGTGGAGAACACTAGCAGCACCCTCACCCAGGAGTTTGTGAGCCGGACCGTGATGTCCAGCGGGACCCTCACCAAGCAGGTGGAGAGGCAGTTCTACGAGGCCTGAGCTGGGCAGGCTGAGCACCAGCAGGACTTGTGTTCAGACAGCAGGACTTCGTGGAATGACCCAAGGGTGCTTCATCCAGATGCTGCTGCGGTGCCTGGGCAGCTCCTCCTGGGGGCACAGACCCTCCATGGCACTCCAAGCTCTGGATTTCTCCTTTGGAACCCAGTGCACTCAAAGCTCTGGCACGGCTGGGTCAGCAGGTGTGTGTGTGCTCATCCTTCAGGGCTTGGTCACTCTGTCCTGCTGTGCAGAGTCCACAGTGATGTCATCCATGATCACCACTCACTCCAAT